AAGATATCATTTTATCGGCCATCAAGTGATCAAAGATTTGATCTGTTTTTGACAAATCAAAAGAGTAGCTTTTTTCGGTATCGACAGCTCCTTTCCTTAGTCGGCTTAGGTTTAACCAACGCCTCATAGATGTATGGCTTCTTGATATTGACCTCAGCAATGTCAACTTCTAATTCATCTCCAACTTCTACCGAGAATACCTTATAATTAGGGTCCTTGTAATAAGTACCCTTAGAGGAATTCTTCCTCTCTTTCTCTTCTTTAAGTATCTCCTCATACCGAGTAGCTCTGTTTGCTAAATTAAAGAGATCTTGAAACTCAACCCCATCAAACCTCTTGCGATGTTCAATGTCTAAACCATTTAATGCCAACTTGATATATTCTGGTTCTGGCAAACTTACTCGGCATTTGACTTTAGCTTTTCTGAACCTGGTAACAAAAGTTTTGACCGATTCGCTCGGTAACTGAGATAATCGGGATATATCTGCCAGCGTAGCTTCTGTTTCTGTCTGGTAGAATTGGGTATGGAAGGCTTTTTCCATCTCATCCCATGTTTGAATCGAATTGGCTGGTAAGTTGCTTTACCATTCAAACGCTGCCCCAGCAAGAGAGCTAGAGAATAACCTCATCCTCAACTAAGGATTAGGACCTACTTCACCATATTATGCTATGAACCTCGTAATGTGCTGCACCGTAGAAAAATTCTCTTCACCACTGTACATAGAAAAATCGGTATATAGATAATTTCTAGGTAATTCATGGGCATCGACATGATCAGGATAAGGCTTTCTATATATCGGCCGAGCACGTCTGCGTCCTTATGCTACCTCAGCCTATATTAAAGCCAAATCTGGGCCCTATCGATCCTTGCATTTTGACCTGGAGGATCATTTGGGTGCAACAGAACGAATGGATTAACCCATTCTTGTTATAGATTTGTATTTGCTTGCCCCCCGGCAGCCGCCGGAGGTATCAATAGATTAGCCCTATATTGGTTTTGGTTTCCCACCACCTCTTACTGATCTCTCACCGGAGAAATCGGCTGCACATGTGGACGCTGCACATTTTGATTATGTTGATTATTCACGGGTGGTTGATACACCGATATAGCAGTTACTGTTGGCGGATCTAATAATATTGGTGGATTACCAATCGACATGCTGAGAGTAGGATTCTGTGCATTACCGATTGTGATGCTGAGTGGTGTGTTTGGCGGTATGATGCCTGTTGATGCTGTTCGAGGCCCTTGGGATATATGTATCAATGGTGCCGACATACGCTGAAATATGAACTCGTTGACATGAGATGCTTCGGCTTGATCATGTCAACTTTGATTAGCCGATATATTGGTTTCAAGTTTCTGACTCATCTTTTCCATTTGAGCATACATCATTTGATTTAACTCCCCGGTCATTGACCTCATCTCATGTATTTGAGAAACCAAAATTTGATTTGATTCTCCGATTTGGGACCTTACCTCACCGATTTATGCTTGTTTGTAACGACCTAAACCCGAGGGTCCGAATCGCTAACTGGGTCCTTACCCGAACCTGAGGTCAACTAAAGGCACTATCGTCTTTTCCTATGTCAATACATAATATACGTGTCATCCCAGGATTTATAAAATAATAATAATAATAAAAAAAGAAATAATAGTAATAAAATGAGATCATAACTACAAAGTATGTCAAAATGGTCTACTAACCCATCGAACCCTGTGGAGGAACGTCGTCCGCCACTTTCTTTTTGTGTCCTGAAAAATGTTAAATAATGGGGTAAACTAAACGCTCAGTAGGAAGTGCTTAAGACCCACCTCTTATGACCCCGTGAATCCACATAGAGAATAGAAAGTATGAGAACGGGATCATATCTCGGGAGTCGAGTAAAACCACTGTATCATCAACAAACATACATATATCAACCAACTACCAAATGCACCAAGTATGCCAATGATGTGCCATGCCATGCAATGTCACTCCCCGTTTCTAAAACAATACTATTTCAGCTTTCAAACCATTAGCGTAATCCGACCCAAGGCACCTCCAAGGCGTCACGAAAGGGGGATTGGCTAACTATCCATGACCACAAGGCATCTCCAAGGCGTCGCATCTGGCCTAGTTAACTCAATCCCTAGTCCACTCTAGACTACACTAACACCACGGACCACTAGGCTCCTCCTAGGCATTTGGTTTTCACAAATACTTTCCAAAACAATTTTTCCAAAATTATTTCATTTCATTTCAAAACAAATTTTCCATTTCTTGCCCAATGCAATGCATGAATGCTTCATACTTTGATCAACATACCATGTCAAGTTCACAATTCCATACAATTCATCTATATCTCATTTGCATGCTTTTGGGAAAATTAAATTAATAAACTCTCAATTAACAATTTTGACGACATAATATTTGACATTCAAGCATTCAACTGCATATCATCAAAATCAATAAATAATACAAGCAATTTCTATCACTTTCAATACATTATACACCTTGTCATGCTCATTGTATAAAAAATGTCTATAACCATAAACAATACTCATAATTTAGTAAACAACTTAACAACTTTTATAAGAAAACTCACAAAAGTTAGAGAAAATTGTGGATTAGAAACCCCTACCTCAAATTGATGAAAAACCCCAAATTCACCTCAAACCCTAGAATTTTGAGATCCCTAAAATGGTGGCCTAATGGAGATTGGCTCCAATCAAATCATAGATCTCGGCGAGCTTTTTAATTTGCTGCAAACGGCTCCCAAAAATACCAAGAATTGAGGGAGAAATCTAGGATTGAATCTTGTAAAAAGAAAAAATGAAGAACAAGAGGGGGAGAGAGTAAGCTACGGGAGAGACAGAATTTGTGAGGCTACAATGGCCTTTTAGCCTTTAAAAGATGCTAATGGTGGGCCCTACTAAATTTAATTTATTTTCTTTTTATTTTTGCACCACAATTAAATCTTTTTAATACACAAGCTAAATATATATATAACCCACATAAAATACAACAAATAAATGCATGAGATGCAAATGGACCCAACTAAAATCCCCGTACGCAACAATCCCGGTAGCAAGTCCCACACGGTACCGTTCGACCCAAAAAATGAAAAAATACAAAAAATGACTAACCTTGCATTTCAAAGAGTCTTGAACTCAATGAAATGTCCCAACCAACTCTCGGACACACCTAGCACAACCCACGATGTCCGGCATGCAAAACGAGATAAGACTAAAGTACCCTCGAAAAACAAAAAATTCCAGAAATAGGAAAATGAAAAAATTTGGAAACAATACATTGTTGGGCTTTGATTTTTTGTATTATCGATTCCAATACCCGACCCAAAGGAACGTCGGATCGAACTGAAGAATCGACGTCATCACCTACGCCGAGTTACTGGTTCTCTTTGTCAGTGTTGTCATCTGTAGCCACACCCTTCAAGTTTCTTAGCTTAGGAGGCATATTTACTATAATTTACTCACCTGATTGGTCCCACCGAGGGTGCCAAGAATGTTGACGCTGAAATAGGCTCCTAAGATCCGATTCGAAATTGATATGTTGCGGGTGTGCCAGAACTAATTATATGGTTCGAGTGTGAGTTGTCAACGTTAGTCTCTTTGGGAAGGTTGACTTTCAAATGATGCGAGGATGAAGAGAACAATAAAAATCCTCTTTTGAGTTCAGTATTGCCTTAGTTAAAAGGACTTTACAGTGAATAATTTATAGTAACAGTTAAGAGAATAGAAAGGGGAGAGAAATAGATATAGAAAGAAATATAGAGAGAGAGATTGAGAAAGAGAGAGAAAGAGATAGAACGAGATATTGAGAGAGATAGATGGAGATAGAGAAGAAATAGTAAGGATGTTATTCTAGGAAAGGCTTGAGAAAGCAAATAAGTAAATTAAAGGATTTTGAGGGTGCTGGACCTCTAGCATAGCATGCCCTTTTCTTTATTTATAGAAATTATTAGAAACAAACTCTTGTAAACAAGCATCCTAACTTTTTTACAACTCTAATTAAAATATGAATTCAAAATGGACTAATCCTGTAGATAAGCATCCTTATGCAACCAAATAAATACTTCCTATCTATTTGTTATTACCAACTATTCAAACCAACTCTATTAGTTGCGTTTTCAAAACATAACCATGCATATCCAATTATAAAAAATCAATATTCCACCTGTAGCAAAAGTCTTTGTTCCATGTTGGATAATGATATTCTTCAACCTAATTAAAATACATCCTTAGCCCAACCTCTTCTTGCGGCCCAAACCTTTACCACATCACTTTACTTTAAGCCCAATTGTAGTTCAAGCCCAATTACCAAAATGGGTGTCAACAGTGTGTGTGTATAATTGCTTTAACTTCCAAAAAAAAAAAAAAAAAAAAGATTATCATCCATTTTTCGTGAAGAAAACATTTAATTTGTATGTATCATTTGGTGCTTTTATTGAGATGCATCCAAATTTAATGGATCAGTTGAAGAGATGAAGATCTTGATTTAATACACAATGTAATAGAAATGCATGAAGTCATATAACTAGCGGAGGATTAAAAATCCTACAAGCAAGAAACAAACCTTATCATTCTCTATTACAAAGATTATGGGATTATTTGATCAAACATATATCTTGATTCCTCAACTGCCCAAGTGAAATTTTCTGTAGAGTTTTAGTTAGTGAATATTTGCAAGCAAGAAACTCTTGAGAGACGCGTAGCATTGTTGGACGACACTTTGGTTCAAAACGCAAACAAGAAAATGTCAAGGTAGCAGCCAGAACAACATCCTGTGCAATCATTCCACGCTCTAGAGCTGGGAGGCACACATCTAACATGTCATTTAACATTATATTTTGAGTAGATGCTGATGCAAGTGATTGGAGAAGTTCTCCCGGACTCCTTCCCATGAGTGTTTCTAGCGCCACAACCCCAAAGCTATAAACATTGCACATTTCATTCACTTTCATGGTGTAGGCAAGTTCTATGCAAACAATAAAGATAATTAATCAACTGCTAGAATATTGTTCATGGACTTGTAGTTTTTGGAAAGATAACGAAAAAAAAAAATAGTCCAAGAATTGCATATAAAGAATAGTTCACCTGGGACGATATATCCAAATGTGCTTGCAAGTACAGTTTGGTTTGATGAATTCGGATATAGCCGTCTATCAGTGCCAAAATCAGAGACAAATGCCTCCAATTCCGAGTCCAACAAGATGTTGCTGCTTGATATGTCGCAGTGAACAATTGGTGGATTGCAATCATGATGCATGTAAGACAAAGCATGTGCAATGCCTTTAATAACGTTCACCCTCCTGCTCCAATTCAATTCCACTACTTCATCATTATATCTTAGGGCACAAAATAAGCTGCCTCTTTCCATGTACTCGTAAATTAGGAACATGCAACGGTTGTGCAAATAGAATCCGTAAAGCTTGACTATGTTCCGATGCCTTATTTCTGTTAACATTTGCACCTCATTCTTAAAACTCCTATCGAAAGCTGGTTCCTCGGCTTCCAGCTTATGAAGTTTCTTTAATGCAACAACTTCACCACTCGGCAGTTGTGCCTTGTAAACACTGTCATAACCACCGGTCCCTTTGCAGTGTCTAATGTCAAAGTTATCAGTTGCTTTAATTATGTCTTCATGCACAATGCATCTATCATAATTCCACACTGAGAACAGATTTCCCTTCTTGATTGCTCTTTCTTCAAATTTCGTATTTTTTCTAACCTTTTTACAGCAAAGAAAGCAGTTCCAAGGATTAAGAAGGCAAGGGAAATGATGATGACAAGCAAAATGGTGCCCAAGTGCACGAATCTGTCTCTCTTTCTACAAGGAGGGAAACCTTTGACTGAAGTACCACATAAACCTTTATTGCCCCTAAAAAAAACGGATTCTCTCTCATTGCTCTCTCTCTATATTTGTGCTCTATATATACACACACATATATAGCCCTTGTAATTCTCTCTCTATATTTCTTCCTCAGTTTATTTATCTTTATATCTCTATCGATTAACTGTTCATCTATATTACCCATCTCAGCTGTAAATTTCTGGAAGCTGTACAGTACAATTTGTGGTACCCGAAAAAAAAAATAAAGGCTGTACAATTTGTTTTGATTTTGGTTATGAACTGCTTATGTCTCTACATTCAGTCTATGTTCATCTATATCATCCATATCAGTTATAAGTTCCTTTATCTCACGGGTTCGATCCATCACTTTGTTTCTTTCATACACTCTCCAGACAGAGAAGGGGTTTAATCATGAATATTTATAAAACTAATCTGACGATTTCTACAAGAATTGATATTGAGTTGTATTATATATCTATAATTGGTCTAACATGTGGTCTATTAGATGCCAAAAGCTTATATTTGTCTAGGTAAAATAATACCAAAAGCTTATATTATGTCTTGAGTCTTTTTTTCCTAGCATATTGCATGGGACATTCATTGAGTGATGCACATTTATGCATACCTTTTTCTTCCCTTGCCCAGCTCGGGAATATAATATTTTTTTTTACATGGAGTGTGTGTTCTGTTAATAGTTTAATCTATTTTCATTTTGTTTTGTTCTTCTAAAACGAGTTGTGTATTGGTGTGAGTTTATGAAATTTGCAAACAAAACCAAGTGTTTGCGTTGCCAAGGGCCACGTCCCAAGAGAGAGCTGATTCTTGGAGATTGGGAATGCCCCAAATGAGTCCCTCTGTCTTCGTGTGTTTTGAAGTTCAAACTTGAAGTTAAAATATACAATATCAATCGACGAATCAATTTCCTTGTGCAGATGTGATTTTGTGAATTACAGGAGGAACATGGTCTGCCGGAAGTGCGAGCGTCCTAAAGTGGCCGCGACACAGTATGAAGATCAGTTATGGAGGAAGCCCAGATGGGTAGCCAAGCTTCTTTTGAAAAGCGGCACTACTGATTCATGCACAGAGAGAAGTTGATGATGAGAACTTTTTCAAGATAAAATTCCCTACAATTGACTGTGGATTTAGATTTGGTAGGTATTCTGCAGTCACAGAGAAGATAATAAAGGTGGGATATGCTTTCCTCTCTAATTTTGTTGATTTAGATGAACTTTTTTGGGCATTGTTGGCATTTGCCATTGGTTCGGTCCTCTTATGTTAGTGTTCTAGTCGAGTGTTTTAGGATGAAAATTGAAAAGCATTAGGTAGTTCCCAGCAATACACTTAACGTTAGAATCATTTTTGTTTTTTTGTTTTTTTTTTGTTTTTTTTTTTTTAAATTTCTAAGTATTAAATTTCTATTTTCCTGTTATATTATTATTTATAATTTGTGTGATAAAAAAAAAAAAAAAAATTTTATTGTAAGATTTTGAAAGCGTGCATTGCACCATAAGTTTTTTAAATGTGTATGTATCTATATATATATAGATACAGTAATGTTCAATTGCTCCCCGTGAATAAGATAAAAGTATACTCACTTTCAATTAAACACGTCTTCAGGAATTTACTATCTAATTAGCATCAAATGAAAACTGTTTTTTGAAAGAAAAAAAAAGTGAAGGAAGAGTACAACAAGAAAAACTTTTTTTTTGTTTTTTTGTTTGCTAATTTTATTGTTCTCTACCAATTAAACACCACAAAGTGAAGGAACGGTAATGTTTGGCCTATTTGTTTCTTGAGTCAAAGCTCTCACAGCCTTTAATAATCGCGGAATAGCATGACTCTATTTGAATATAGAAATTTTATTGGAAACTATAGAAATTAATTTTCTGATTTTGATTGTGGAAAAAATGGTTTATTGTTGGGGACCACCTCTTGGTCCATTGCCATGCCATCTCGTGAAGTTGGCCACAATTTCTAAACTCCATCATTTTCCACGAGTCAAGCTCAAGCCAGTCCACACTATAGGGTAAATTTTCCATGAATCCATTGAAGTCTATCCTTTGACGCATAACTGCATAATGTTTGGGCCTAGGCCCCTACCAAAATGAGAAGTTTCACGTATAGTAGTTACCGGGAAAAGTTGTCCACTTTAAAAATCATCTAAATTATTATGTAACCGATTGCCTATCATGTTCCATATATACAAAAAATATATATAAATACTACCATTACTGCCATATTAAGATTATCATCCATTTTTCGTGAAGAAAACAGTTAATTTGTATGTATCATTTGGTACTTTTATTGAGATGCATCAAACTTAATGGATCGATTGAAGAGATGAAGATCTTGATTTAATAGACAATGTAATAGAAATGCATGAAGTCAAATAACTAGCGGAGAATTCGAAATCCAGCAAGCAAGAAACAAACCCTATCATTCTCTATTTTGTAGTCTCTAATACAAAGATTATATGATTATTTGATCAAACATATATCTTGATTCATCAACTGCCCCAATGAAATTTTCTGTAGAGGTTTAGTGAGTGAATATTTACAAGCAAGAAACTCCTGAGAGATGCGTAGCATTGTTGGACGACACTTCGGTTCAGAATGCAAACAAGAAAATGTCAAGGTAGCAGCTAGAACAACATCCCGTGAAATCATTCCACGCTCAGGAGCTGGGAGGCGCGCATCTAACACATCATTTAGCATTATATTTTGAATAGATGCTGATGCAAGTGATAGGAGAAGTTCTCCCGGATGCCTTCCCATGAGTGTTTCTAGTGCCACAACCCCAAAGCTATAAACATCGCACTTTTCATTCACTTCCATGGTGTAGGCAAGTTCTATGCGAACAATAAAGAAAATTAATCAACCCTTAGAATATTGTTCATGGACCTATAGTTTTTGGAAAGAAAATGTTACAAAAAATGTTGAAATTTCATATAGAGAATAGTTCAAGAATTGCATATGAAAAATAGTTTACCTGGGGCGATATATCCAAAAGTACCTGCAAGTACAGTTTGATTTGATGAATTGGGATATAGCCGTCTAGCAGTGCCAAAATCAGAGACAAATGCCTCCGATTCCGAGTCCAACAGGATGTTGCTGCTTGATATGTCGCGGTGAACAATTGGTGGATTGCAATCATGATGCATATAAGACAAAGCATGTGCAATGCCTTTAATAGTGTTCACCCTCCTGATCCAATTCAATTCCATTGCTTCATCATCATATCTTAGGGCACAGAATAAGCTGCCTCTTTCCATGTACTCGTAAATTAGGAACATGCAACGGTTGTGCAAACAGAATCCGTAAAGCTTGACTATGTTCCGATGCCTTATTTCTGTTAACATCTGTACCTCATTCTTAAAACTCCTATCAAAAGCTGGTTCCTCGGCTTCCAGCCTATGAAGTTTCTTCAATGCAACAACTTCACCACTCGGCAATTGTGCCTTGTAAACACTGCCATAACCACCGGTTCCTATGCAGTGTCTGATGTCGAAGTTGTCAGTTGCTTTAATTATATCTTCATAGACAATGCGTCCATCATAATTCCACACTGAGAACAGATTTCCCTTCTTGATTGCTCTTTCTTCAAATTTCGTATTTTTTCCAACCTTTTTACAGTAGAAGAAAACAGGTCCAAGGATAAAGAAGGCAAGGGAAATGATGATGATGACAAGCAAAATGGTGCCCAAGTGCACGAATCTGTCTCTCTTTCTACAAGGAGGGAAACCTTTAACTGAACCACATAAACCTTTATTTCCCCTTAATTCCTGGAATGAGTTGCTTCGAACTTGGAAACCTTGTGGGATTTCTCCCTCCAAATCATTGTATGACAAATCAATGGACTGCCAATTATAGGTAGAGTTAAACGAAATGGGAATAGTGCCGGAGAGATGATTGTGAGAGACATCCAAGTATTCAAAATAATCTAGTGGAATTGTTATCACTGGGCCGCTGATGAAGTTATGACTAAGGTTCAGATATATGAGTTTTAACAACCTTCCAATTTCTGAGGGAATGGATCGGCTGATATGATTGGAAGAAATGTCAAGGTGATTGAGTTTTAACAAACTTCCAATTTCCGAGGGGATGGAGCCGCTGATATGATTGGAAGAAATGTCAAGGTGATTGAGTTTTAACAAACTTCCAATTTCCAAGGGGATGGAGCCGTTGATATGATTGGAAGAAATGTCAAGGTGATTGAGTTCTAACAAACTTCCAATTTCCGAGGGAAAGGAACCGTTGATATGATTGGAAGAAATGTCAAGGTAATTTAGTTCTAACAAACTTCCAATTTCTGAGGGGATGGAGCCGTTGATATGATTGGAAGAAATGTCAAGGTGGAATAGCTGGGTGATCTTACAAATGCAAGGAGGCAGCCTACCTGTAAGATAATTGTAAGAAAGTCGGAGAGAGGTAAGCTTCCACATCCTTCCAATTTCTGTGGGGATAGAGCCGTTGATAGAATTGTGAGAAATGTCGAGAAAAATCAAGTTGGCCAAAAGACCAAGAGATGAAGGGATGGATCCGCTGATATAATTGTGAGAAATGTCAAGAAGAGTCAAGTTGGCCAAAAGACCAAGAGATGTAGGGATCTCACCGGTGATATGATTGGAAGAAATGTTAAGGATGGATAGCTGGGTGATCTTACCAATGGAAGGAGGCAGTCTACCTGTAAGATTATTCTCAGAAAGTCGAAGAGAGGTAAGCTTCCACATCCTGTTTCCAATTTCTGTGGGGATAGAGCCGCTGATAGAATTGTGAGAAATGTCAAGCACAAGTAGTTGGGTGAGATTAGTCATGGAAAGAGGCAGCATACCTGTAAGCTCATTGTAAGAAAGTCGAAGGTAATTGAGTTTCGACAACCTTCCGATTTCATGCGGGATGTTTCCATTGAGGCCACAGTAGCTGAGATCGAGACTTAGTAAGTTTGGAAAGGAAGACATGTTCAATTTCTCCAGCTCTCCCACCAGGTAATACGGAGAAAGGTCTATCCCAATGACATTTCCAAACTTATTGCAAGATATTCCATCCCACTCACAGTGACTTGTGGAATTGTAAACTGGAATACTAGTGGTCCCCCACCAACCAGTGCGGAGAAGAGCCTCTACCTCCTCTGTTGATGATGAAGATTTTGATAAAATAGGTGCTACATTTAAGATAATATTAGTTGCTATCCAAACGATGGCTACAACTGCACAATATTTAAAGGAAACCATGCTTATTTTTCACAAATGGTTCAATGGATGGATGCATTTGGTGGTTGTATATATAATAAATATATATATTACAAAAGGCAATGTCAGTCAAGCCCAGACACTTCTGCGAAGCTTCATGCTAAACTTCGTGGGTAATGGTTGGGGTCCACTCATGTTAATAAGTTTGCTGGTAGGGTGAAGAACTTGTAGAAAATACTAATGTGAATGCCATGGTAGTGTGGTTTTTGGTGCTGAAATTACACCTAATAACTTAAAATTTTAATTCGGATTATGAAGTACCGATGGGTTATAATTGGTATTAGAGTTATATATTTAACAGACTCAATTCTAAGTAAATACCAAAGAGGAAAAAAAAAAAAGAAGCAAGGAATTTTGAAAGTAGCAAAGTAAAATAGAAAATTTGGAAGTGTTACATGTAGAATATCTATATTCTATAATGAAAAGGGGCATGTTATGCATTTTTAATCCATTTATGTACGCAATTTTTTTTTTTTCAAGATTATAGTAAGAAAATTTAAAACAAAATAAAGACTTGTATATAGAATATATATATTAATTTTACTAAAGGCTACGATCAAAGTTGAGGAGACTTGTAATTAAGGTCCACGGACACAGTCAAAGAGAGTCAAGCCTAGCAACTTCTGCCAAGTTTCATGCTAAACTTCATGGGTGTTGTCATCACCAATTTAAATCATCATTCAAAGTTTTTGACTATTCATGTGTAGAAAATATTAATGTGAATGCCCAATTCAAACTGACTAAACTTTAAAGGCCACCGTGAGAGCAAAGTCGTTATTTAACAAATAAATAAATATTCCATCTTTTTTATTATTATTATTTTTCTTTTCTTTCTAGAATTAGTGTAGTCAAGTGTTTGTTTCACTTGTTGGATTCTTTTTATTAAATTAAAGCTAGTGATAGTGCACATTTGATTGGTCCACGTGTTTGTATGTTTGTATTATTGGTTTCTTTGTTGTAGTAATATTAGTGGTGTCCATTCATTGTTTATAGTGAAATTCTGATAAAAAATGAGTTATATATTAGTCTTATCTAATAACTTAAATTTTTTTTGTCTATTTCGAACACAGTCAAAGAGAGTCTAGCCCAGAAACTTCTGCCAAGTTTCATGCTAAACTCCTTGGGTGGTGTCATCACCAATTTAAGTCATCCTTTAAAGTTTTTGACTATTCGTTCTTTGTTGGTAGGGTGAAGAATTTGTAGAAAACGTTAATGTGAATGCCCTGTAGAGTGTGGTCTTTGGTCACCCAATTCAAACTGACTAAACTTTGAAGACCACTGTGAGCAAAGTCATTATTTAACAAAAAAAAAAAAAAAAAAAACAAAATTTCCACCTTTATTATTATTATTATTATTTTCTTTTCTTTCTAGAATTAATGCATTCAAGTGTTTGTTTCACTTGTTGGATTATTTATATTAAATTAAAGCTAGGGATAGCGCACATTTAATTGGTCTATGTATTTGTATGTTTGTGTTGACTCATTTTTCACAATGAAATCCCGATAAAAAATTAGTTAGGTGTTAGTCTTACTTAATAATTTAAATTTTTTGGTCTGATCATGAAGTACAGGTCAGTTAAAATTGGTATCAGAGTTGTATATTTAAAAAGCTTAATCCTAAGTAGATACCAAAGAAAAAAAAAAAAAAAAAAAGAAATATTGAAAGTACCAAGGTAAAATAAAATGAATTTTGAAAGTGTTATAAGTAAAATATCTATAATTTTGAAAGTGTTAATCCATTTATGTACACATGGGAGCACCAAAAAGCTACATAACTCCATCGGCCATGTGTTTTTTGGCCTATTGACATTTGTGGAGCCAATAATTCACTTTAGAGGGGTCAACCGTTAATAATATTATAGTAAAAAAATTTGAACCAAAATAAATACATAACAAATGAGGGACCTTTTCTGAATTTTGATTTAAAAAAATTTGTGAGACTCAGTTGAGGAGGAAAAAACTTGATCACTTTTTAATTTTTAAAAATTTTGTTGGGTAGTGAGTTAAAAAGTGAGGGATTTTTTTTTTTTTTTTTTTTTTTTTTTTTTTTTTTTTTTTTTTAACAGTTTTGTAAAGGGCTTTTGTGGCATTTTTAGGGGTTCATATCCGCATTTTTAGAATTATTAAAATTTAAATAAGAAACTTACCAAAAATGAATAAGTCCATCGGGAGCAGTTGCCCTCATTGGGCCTAGCATGGCTCCGCCCATGCCTATTGGGCCTTGCTCTTCAGCCCAAGCTAAAGCCCACTGTACTTGCCTTACATGCATATAATTTGCATAAACTTCAAACGACCAAAAAAAAAAAAAAAACAATATTATGTGAACCAATATTGATATTGGGATCTAAATGCAACTATGGTTATGATTGTACAAAAAAAGAAAAACAAAAAACAAAAACAAAAAAGGGCATTGAATCAAACAAAACATTAATGCACGCCAAAAGTAATATCACCACACCACTCTCTATTAGTTAGTTTTACAGAAATTTATTAAAGATCTTTTCAGAGTGGTTTTGGACAACCACCACAAAAGGGAAAATAAAAAATTATGAGTGTGTCATTTATAGGATATATCAATTTAATGGTGAAGTTATACATACTCAATCTTTGTCATTATTTATATATAAAGTGACTACTCATCACTTCATCATGACTAGTGCTAAAAGACTCCAGGCGTTTAAAAAAGAAATTCCAATAAACTCTATATGCTTGTACATGTTTTTTTTTTTTTAATATTTAATTTAAAAGATTCCAAGATGACTGGGTGCATATCATTTTTTAAGATGGCGAATTAAGAAAGAAATCGACAACAGGAGATTTTGCATGGGCGGATAAGAAAATAAGGGTTATGAGTCGACTAATATTAGAGTTGGGACATATTAACATTAGTGTTTCCACTTAATAAAAATAGATCATATCAGATTGTTGAAAACAATTTCTATGACTAATTTTATTAAATTAATAATGTATTTTCATTAAGTGTGCGTGCACGATTAGCTCACTCAATATCATCTAGAGTTTAATAGATATAATATATTCACGATTGCTTTTATTTAATTATGGAATAATTCAATATTTTGAAAGTGTATATGTAGATCAGCTCACCCAATGTCATCTAAAGTGTCATATTTGAAAGTTTAATATATATTGCAAAAGGTAGGATCAAAGCTGAGGAGACTTGTGAATGGAACAAAGGAAGTCAAGCCGAGACACTTTTGCGAAGCTTCATGCTAAACTTGGTGGGAAATAGACTATTCTCTCTTTGCCGTACTTAATATTGGTAGGATCCATTCATGTGAATGCCCTGTAAACTTTGAAGACGAACAAAAGCCGAGTAGTTATTTTGATTGGTGTAAGAAATCAACAAATGTTCGACCTTTTTCTACAGTCAAGTGTTTGTTTCACGTGTTGGATTCTTTTTATTAAATTAAAGCTAGTGATAACACATAGCGTCATCTCATGGTTGATATGAAATCTAGATAAAAAATTGAATGGATATGAATATTAAGCCCAACTTAATGTTTTAAAATTTTGAGTTGGATCATGAAATACTCGATTGGTTATAATTGGTATCAAAATTATATATTTAAGAGGCTCAATTCTTAATAGATACCCAATAAAGAAAAATAAATAAAAAAAAAAAAGGAAGAAATTTTGAAAGTAGCAAAGTAAAATATGAATTTTAAAAGTGTTATATGTAGAATATCTATAATAAAAAGAGGGTCGTTATGCATTTAATCAATTTATGTACACATTTTTTTTTTCAAGATTTATGTACAAATGCGAGCACAAAAAAGCTACACAACTTCATGTTGCCTTTGGGCCAAAATTTGAAACCGTTAATAATATTATAGTAAGAAACCATGCTTATTTTTCACAAATGGATCAATGGATGGATGCATTTGGTGAATGTATATGTATATATATAAGGTCCACACGGACACAGTCAAAGGGAGTCAAGCCCAGACACTTCTGTCAAGTTTCATGCTAAATTTCGTGGGTGTTGTCATCATTATTACTAAGTAATCATTCAAAGTTTTTGACCATTCTTTCTTTGTTGGTACTAGTATAGGTAGGGTGAAGAATTTGTAGAAATACTACTGTGAATGCCCTGTGGAGTGTGGTCTTTGGTCGGACCGAATTTAAACCGACTAAACTCTGTAGACCACGGTAAGCAACGTTGTTATTTAACAAATAAACAAAGAGTAATGATAGACTGTGCGAAAGAGAAAATGTGAAAACTCTTCGAATTTGATTTGGCTAAGCCACATTAGAATTAAAAAAGAAGTCGCCTCTCACATGATATATATGAAAAGAAAGGGGAAAAAAAAAAGAAAAAAAACATGGTACTTTCTCTTTCCTCTCACAAACCGTTAACTAAAAACTTTCCAAAATTTGATATATACAACACTTCTCAAATTTCACCTTTTGTAAAATTACTCTCCATCCCTACTTTTTCTCTAAAAGACAAATACATTTTGTAGAACTTTAATAGGATGAATAAATTATAGATTAACAATTCCTTATTATAAATTTTAAAATAATAAATATTTGACTTTAATAAGATGAATAAATTATAGATTAAAAATTCCTTTATATAAATTTTAAAACAATAAATATTTGATTTATACACCGTATAGATAATACTGTATTTGTATAGTTCTATGAATTTTTACTTTGTAAATTTAAATTTATGGAACACGGGAACAAGTAATTTCTGGTTTGTGATTATTTTCTTGCCAAATCAGATTTGAGGAATTTTCGCGTTTTCTCCTTCGTATTGCCTATCATTACTCATAAACAAATGTTCCACCTTTTTTTATTATTATTTCTTTTCTTTTCTTTCTAAAATTAATGCAGTCAAGTATTTGTTTCATGTGTTGGATTCTTTTCATAAATTAAAGTTAGTGATAGCACACATTTGATTGGTCTACGTGTTTATTTGTTTGTGTTGTTGGCGGCTTCTTTGCTTTACAAATATTGGTAATTTAGTAGGGTC